TCAAGGTCAAGCCCCATGTCAAGGAAGAAGTGGTTCTTCCAGTTAGCACTGAGCCCGAGGAAGTCACTGTGGAAGTTGTCCCAAAAGAAGAGACCAAACCTGAGGAAGTTCCTGAAAGGAAGCCGACCTTCACTGTAAGTTCTGAAGAGGAAGTCAGGAAAATCTTTAAACCTAAAGTTTCTGTGAAGGCTGAGGAACAGGTGGATTCAGCAGTTACTGCCCAGTTTAAGCCTCACCAAGAAGAAGAGGTTGAAGTCCAAGCTGCATTCAAGAGACCAGAAGAAGAAATCCCGGCAGCTGTTCCTGTAGAAAAAGCAGCTGCTAAACCTAAGCCAACCTTTGTTGAAGAGGAGCTTCCTTATGCAGCTCCAGCCTATCCGGAAAAGTTAGAAGGTCTTCCAGAAGAAGAGCTAGAGACAGCAGTCACTAAACACATTCTGCAGCCAACAGATGAAGCTGGTGAACTTCCACCCGCAGAGGAGGTAGTTCCCATTGAAGCTACTCCCAAATTAACTCCTACAGAGGTCCTAGACATCTCTGAGAAGAAGCCAGAAAAGATCAGAGGCTTTCCAGAGAAAGAGGCTGTGCCTGAAGAGTTGGAAGAGGTAGAAGTTATTCCAGAAGTAACACCAGAGAAGCTGGAAGCTGTGGAGACTGTTATGGAGAGAGAAGAGAAGGTTGAGGAACTTCCTGTTGCACCCGTCATCCTCCACAAGATCAGAGACAAGGTCAGTTGCTGGAAACCACATCTTGGAGAGTTTCATTTTTTGTGCAAGAAATGATTCATAGTTCATCTGTTGTTCTAACCGAACAAAGAACCTGTAACCTTTTTAATCGTAATCATTTCTTTAATTTTTTTTCAATTTCATTTTCCAGAGCACCAAAGAAGGGAAGGCAGTGAAATTTACTTGCACTGTGACTGGAACACCCCAGCCTGAAATCAAGTGGTTCTTGTAAGATTCAGTTCTGAAACATTTGATAACATCAATTTTAGGTGGTCAGGGCTCTGCACTGTTCGTTAATTTCCCTTGTTAAACTCCATTTTTTGATAACCATCTGTAAATATGTTTTCTTTCACCTCTGCAGAAACAAGGATCTTCTTGAGGCAAGTACTCATTTCATTCAAACCTTTGAGGAAGATGTTGCCTCATTGACTATTGAGCATCCAAAACCTAAGGATGCTGGAGAGTACAAGTGTGTGGTCGTCAACACAGCAGGAGAAGATGTCTGCAAAGCCAAGTTGACCGTGATTGGTAAATGCTTTGGAGAATTTGTATCTTGATGAGAGGGATATGCTTCCTTTTTTGTCATTTTTCTTCAACACCTCTTTTTGAAAAAAATAATGTCAAGCAAAAGTACATGAGCATTTAGAAAAAAAAAGTTGATTCCTTGAAGTTATTTAGAGAGAAATTATTTTTACACCTTTCAAGTTGCTTGCTTTATCAGAAATCAGAAAAACCTGGTGGAAATTTCATCTCATTCTTTCTGAAGTGATCAGCTTTAACATAATACTTCAAATGTTGAAAAGCTTTTTCCTTCACCAAAAGAAGTAGCACAGAAGACTTGATTTTCTAATCATGGCAATGGCTTTTTTGATCTCTGCTAATTCAGAAGTCAAAAGAGGACCATCATTTATCGAGAAGCCACAGGTTGAAGATACACCTGAAGGTGAGAATAGCTGTTTTCCTTTAAGTTTTAATTTAAAGATAAAAAATACATAAAATTACCATTCATTTAGTTTAAGTTTTGTTAACCTGTCATTTTTCTGAATTAAATTTTTTTTAAATTGTTTGTGTGAAAAAAGGTAATGAGGCCATCTTCCGATGCAAGGTTGATGGTTTCCCCAAACCTGAAATTACATGGAACAAAGGTTGGAAACAGATTACAAGTGGAGGAAGATTTGCTATCACCTTTGACGAGGATACTGATGACAGTGTCTTGACAATTAAGGACACAACCCCCTCAGATGCTGGGAAGTACACTTGCTATCTGAAGAGTCCTCTAGGACAGGACAGCTCCACAGTGAGTTTAAAAGTCACACCTAAGCCCGAAGAGAAACCTGAGGAAGAAGACAAACCAGATGAAAAGCCTGAGGAAAAAGCTCCAGTCCCAGAAGTTGAGCAAATTGAGGCAGTGCCTGAGGTTTTGAAACCAGAGGAGGTTCCTACAGAAGTAATTTCTGTTGAGGAGGTCGAAGCAGTCCCTGAAGAGAAACCAAAGGTCCCATCAGCTAAAGTTGACATTGAAGCAGTGGCAGAGGAACAAGCTGAGACTGAAGTAGCATTCAAGGTCAAGCCCCATGTCAAAGAAGAAGTGGTTCTTCCAGTAAGCACTGAGCCCGAGGAAGTCAGTGTGGAAGTTGTCCTAGAAGAGGAGACCAAACCTGAGGAAGTTCCTGAAAGGAAGCCGACCTTCACTGTGAGTTCTGAGGAGGAAGTCAGCAAAGTTTTTAAACCTAAAGTTTCTGTGAAGGCTGAGGAACAGGTGGATTCAGCAGTTACTGCCCAGTTCAAGCCTCACCAAGAAGAAGAAATTGAAGTGCAAGCTGCATTCAAGAGACCAGAAGAAGAAAAACCGGCAGCTGTTCCTGTAGAAAAAGCAGCTGCTAAACCTAAGCCAACCTTTATTGAAGAGGAGCTTCCTTATGCAGCTCCAGCCTATCCGGAAAAGTTGGAAGGTCTTCCAGAAGAAGAGCTAGAGACAGCAGTCACTAAACACATTCTGCAGCCAACAGATGAAGCTGGTGAACTTCCATCTGCAGAGGAGGTAGTTCCCATCGAAGCTACTCCCAAACTCGCTCCTACAGATTTCTTAGACATTTCTGAGAAGAAGCCAGAAAAGATCAGAGGCTTTCCAGAAAAAGAGGCTGTGCCTGAAGAGTTGGAAGAGGTAGAAGCCATTCCAGAAGTAACACCAGAGAAGCTGGAAGCTGTGGAGACTGTTATGGAGAAAGGGGAGAAGGTTGAGGAACTTCCTGTTGCACCCGTCATCCTCCACAAGATCAGAGACAAGGTCATTTCTAGATCTTAGTATTTCAGCAAATTTGACTAGCATTATTAGAACTATCTTGCCCATTTATCTATGCAAACACTTTATTTTAAGCCTTCATTAAACAAATGTTATATTTGCCCCACCAAACATCACATGTCATGAAAAGGTCATGTGTAGTTTTCTAATCAGCATACACTTTTTACTCTGCAGAAAGTGAAAGAAGGAACACCCATGAAATTCACATGCACCGTTTCTGGGGAACCCAAGCCGGAAGTCCAATGGTTCAGGTAGCCTGGTCAATTTCTTTCCATAGACTTTCATGTATGGTACTATGGGCCCTTTTTGCATAGATGTTTGACCAAGAGACATCAAGATATGCACCTAATGTGTACACTATGACTGTCTGGAAATGATGATTTCTTATTGATGACATGCTGTTATTGTAAAGACAATCACTTTCAACTGTTTGAAATTCCTTTCCATGTTTTGCCAACTTATAGGGCTTTCCACTGCACACTAATAATTTAACTTATTGAAAATAGCTTAAATAAATTAAGTTGTTTTTTATCTTAGAATAAATGCCAGAAGCCAGTTTGGAGACTGGCGACTATAATTAATTGATTTCTTCCACAGTTGATATTATGTTGTGTGTGCTCCCTTTACTGGAGGGTTTCTAGTTAAAAGGATTTCCTTACATTATTATAAATTCATCATGATTCCATCATGATCGTTTTCAGGGATGGCACTCTCCTTCAACCTTCCAGTAAAAACATCCAGACCTTTGAAGCTGACACAGCCGTCTTGGCTTTACCCAAACCTAAACCAAGGGATGCTGGCGAGTACAAATGTGTTGCTATCAATCCATCAGGGGAAGATTACTGTACCGCCACACTGATTGTTCAAGGTTAGACAGCCTATTCAAAACTTCGTTAAGTTCTAGGCTCCTGTACAATCTCACAGTTTATTGGTTTGTTTTGAATTCATGATGCTAAAGATGCTGTGAACCTTAGAAAAATTCACTCATTTGACTACCATTTACATTCAGATTATAAAAGGCTGTATTGTGATTATATGGAGTCAAATGGAAATACCACTAGCCCCGTGGGAAGTCACTGGCTTGCAACTGTAACCACTTCCCATTGACTCATGCATTACCTCTAGCCACCGTCAGTTCAAGACATAGCCTCAGTCTCAAGATTCTACATACTTTGAGCAATCCTTTAATCTTCTTCCACAGGGTTTCTCTTCACAACTCTAAATACTTCATTATCCTAACTTTTGTACATGTTGATACTTAACTTTTGGTCATATCAACAGAAATAAGGAAAGCACCATCATTTGAAGAAAAACCAACAGTACCAAGTACACCTGAGGGTAAGACTCTATTGCTTGTTGTCTTCCAGAAGTTGAAAGCTGGAGCAGAAATTTCTTGTGATGGTAAACCTGAGTAGAAAAAAAAAATTGGCTCTTTTTGTATGTGTAGCCTCCTCTGTTGAATTTTGGTAATGACTGTTTAAATTTTATATGATTACTTTTTGGTTTAGGTACTGATGCCGTTTTCCGCTGCAAAGTGGAAGGCTCCCCCAAACCGGAAGTCTCTTGGTCCAAGGGCTGGAAGCAGATCAAGCCAGGAGCAAAGATAGACATCACCTTTGACGATACAACCCAGGAGAGTGTGCTGACTATCAAGGATGTCAAGCCTTCTGATGCTGGCAAGTACACCTGCAAGCTGAGCAACCAACTGGGAGAAGAGAAGGCCGACGTCAGTCTGGTGGTCACCCCAAAACCAAAAGAAGAGAAGATCCCAGAGAAGCCTGAGATGAAGGAGGAAAAGAAACCAGAAGAAAAAGTTGAACCACTGGTAAGAATGTGGATTTCATGTCTGTTTCACCCATCTGAAGAAACATTGAGTATTTAGTAAGATATTTCCTTTTTTTAATTCATAAATTTTGGTCAGAAACCCTGCAAGTTCTTTTGCCCAGCATCTATTCATGTCAGTCAAAATATCAAAAATTGTAATTTTTAGTATCAACAGTGTACCATTTATCTGTCACTTTCTGATGAAACAGATATAAAGTGAATGTTAAACTTTCTGTATCCAATGTCTAACCAGCCTACTGAGGAGATGAAGCCAGCCAAACTAGAGGAGATGCCTGCTGAGGTGACGCCAGAAAAGATTATTCCTGTCACTAAGGCGGAGGTAGAAACTGCACCAACCCAAGAACCAGAAGGTGATTCACGATAAAATCTTTGCCCAGCTTGCTATTTTCTCAAAATACTGCAGTATACAGTATTCTTGTGTAAATCTGCAGTTATGAATTGTTCGCAAAGTTTCTTTCAGTATTGACTTTTATCTTCATTTCAGGTCCAGCAAAGTTTGTTGCAAAACCTGGAGCTTTTGTTGAGTCTATCGAAGATGAGGATGCCATGATCACTTATGAGATCAGTGATGATATGACGGATGTGAAATGGTTCCGGGAAGGAGAGGAGATTCAAGAAGGTGAAAAGTTTGCCTTCAAGAAGGATGGGCGTCGTCGCTCCCTTGTTATCAAAGACGCAACCCTTGAGGACAAAGCCAGGTATATGTGCGTTCTCCCAGAAGACAAGGCAGGCACAAAGCTCTTTGTGAAAGGTAAGTCTCCAAAATTTCTAGTTTAGCCAAAATGATTGCTTTTGATGTGATATGCTTTTGTAACTAGCGCATTTCCAGGTACCTATTAATCTGAAATGTGCTACAGTGGAAGGCCGCTATAACAAACACAACAAGGTCCACTCTAAATGTTCCGTACAGCTGTTGTTCGGTGTAGCGAAATTTACTGCCGAACTTTTTTTTGCCATGTTGAATAGCGCCCTCACTTGTCTAACTGAAGTGCACTCTCTTGTGATAACATGGTTTGCTGTTTTCTGGCTGTTTTGCAGTTGCATACACATTTGAGGTTTCTAAAAATGTACTTGTTAATTATTTTTGCTTTTTATTAAATTGCAAGTTATAAAATTTATTTCAAGTTTGTCCTAAAAGTGGTGAAGGTACTGCTCAGGATCGATCTCTAATGCATGCTGTGGGGAATCTTGGTGGTTTGTATATCAGTGGCGCCCACTTTAAACTGATGTTAATGCAATGCCACGGTGCGCGTGTGGTTTTCTTCCGCAACCGATCACGCAGAGTTGCAAAACCAGTGCCCATTTAATACCATTGGCAGATTAACCGTGCATGCCCTAGCCGTTTCTAGAAGACGACTTTGAACAAGTGCGTACCAATGTATCCAGTTTCTCAGCTAGTTAATTACAATTAACTCTTCAACAACTAGTGGCTTTCCCTTCTAATCGTTGGGGAAATAATGGCCACTTGTCACTTTCCAACATCAAAACTTGACTGTTTTAAAAGTTGACGTTCGGTAATTACAAACGCCAACTGCAAACTGTTCTGCAGGTTTTGTGCACAAAATATTGGGAGCCAAGGACAATGTTCGGTACAGCCGAATGTTGGGTATGGCAGTGTTCAGTATAGCGGCATTCCACTGTACTTTGTATCAACTTTATTCCTGTGTAGACCATGATGAACACTAAGGGAAAGGTGAGAAATCATCATAAGAAGTAGTCAAAAGCCTGTATTGTATACAACGGTTTTATATAAACTTGTTTATATCAAAATTTGAGCCATTTGAATGAATTTTTTGTGCTCACAAAAATACTTTTGTACTTTTTTGTGTGGAACTTGTTTCCATAGAAACTGTCCACATTGTCAATATCCCAGAAGAGATGACAATCAAGGAGGCAGATAAGGGAATGCTGAAGGTGGAGTTCAACAAAGACGTCTCCCGTAAGAGGGTCACCTTCTTCAAGGATGGCAAGGAGCTGAAGTCCAGCAAGAAGTACAAGATTGTCCGCAAGGAGAACACGGCCACCTTGACCATCAATGATGTGGTCCCAGAGGATGCTGGAGAGTATACAGTCACGGCAGAGGAGGTGAAGGCAACAGTGACGATGTTTGTTGAAGAGAAGCCCAAACCCAACCCGCCAATCTTTGTGCAGGTACCCAAGGCTCTGGACATCATTGAAGGTAGGAAATAGATGTTGGTCACTAAGTCACTAAAGTGACTTGTGTTTTTTCTTTATTTGAAGAGCTTGCATCGTGATCATTGTTGATCTATGTTTCAAATTTTCTATTACCTATAAATTGTAAAGAGAATACATTGGGAGACATTTTGCATTGATTTGTAGCTAAATGAAATGATTCTTCACCCATAGAGCAACATTCCCTTCATCATTCATGCTTGATACTCCAGTGGCATCTTAACGAGGGGCTGGGGGGAACATTACCCCCAGCAAAGTCTATGCCCCTTGGGTTCCAAACATTTTAAATTTAGAAGGCGCACAATCTATGTACAAGTACAGTACTATGTACAGTACATGGCATCCTGATCTGGTTTGTAAGATTTGTACTTTATAATGACTAATTTATTATTCATTTGTTATTTATAGAAAGTTTGAATTGGGCTTATCTCTGTTGCAGGTGAGTCTGCCACCTTTCGCTTCAAAGTTAGCGGTACTCCAGCTCCAACAATTCAGTGGTTCAAAGGATGGCGGGAGATCACACCCGGTGATCAGTTCTCCATGACGTATGACGAGGAGACCGACGAGCATCGCTTCATTATCCATTCTGTCACTATCAAAGATGCCGGCAAGTACCAGTGTCAGCTGGTCAGCGAGAACGGCCAGACCAAGTACGGCGTCTCTTTAATGGTGCAAGAGAAGCCAGCAGAAGAGGCTCCGTTTGTCGTCCCATTGAAGAGGTGAGTAGGCATATCATTTTGCTGTAGCCAGAACTTGTTATACTTGTGGGTCATGCTTGATGAACTATAGGATCTTGGTGTTTCTGAGAATATACTTTATGAGCAGTGTAGTTTGGATATAACAATATAGACTTCAGTTGTGGTTTGGGGGGTATTTAGGTAGCCTCTCACCACTGTGGTTGTGGGTTCCATTATACCGACCCAGAACATTTGCCAAGAAGGCTTTCTCTGGGTTCTTCAGTTTTCTTCCCTTTGCAAAGATCAACACTCACAACCTCTGGTTGTGCTCTATGGTCCGATGTGAATCACTTGGCAGCTGCCTTATAGGTACCTGTACATACCTTGTGCTTGACCACATTGTAGTTTAGTGTGTCTTATTGTACAGTACATTTGAATATACATTTCAAGGAATGAGCTCTTAATATAATGAATACAGTATTATTATTGTGTGATAGAATTTCAAGGGCTGCAGTAATATGTTTGAAATTCCTGTTCTGTCCACAGACGTCCCTCCCAGGAAGTCAAACAGCAAGAGGAAATTGACATCATGGCACTCCTGCGGGGCATTGAGCCCAAGGACTATGAGAAGGTGTTGCGGGAGGCTGGCGTCTATGACTTCCGAGCAATCCTGAAGCATCTCAAGATGATGCAGAAGGAGATGGAAATCGAGGAGGAGCCAGTCTATGAGGTGAGGAGTTATTGTCTTCCGATGTCCTCCTTTAACAGAAAGAGGCAAAGAAACTAGCTCTGTATTGAATTGTTTGTCCGATGGTATACCCGTGTATGGCTTCTGGGAGTATCATCAATTGTTAGGAAATTCTCCACAGTACTAAATATTTTTCTTGTTTGAATTCTCATCCACTCTGTTTTCTTCCTAAAATCACAGTCTGTAAAACACACGCTGCAACTATCAATTCTCTTGTAATCACTTCTGTATTTTCACACAAGTGTCTTATCCCCTGTTACCCTCCTAAATGACAAAAGGTGCTGGCAGAAGGAGATGAAATTGAAGAAGTGGAAGCGCTGCAAATCGAGTCGCCCATTTTCTCAGTTGCACCTGCCCCAACTGTCTTGAGCCGTGCTGCTGAACCACCCAAAGGTAGGCTCTCTCCCTGTTGCAAACTGTCCTTTAGATGTTTTTGTTATCTCATCCAAACAGTCCAGCCCTCAAGATTTCCAATTTCTATGCAGAGAGACACTGCGTTCGCTGCTGTCTTTGGCAACTTTCATTTCAACTTCTCCTGAACATGTTGATTGTTTCAAAGTTTAAACTTCTCAACCAAAGTATTGAACTGATTGTGAAGTAAAAGTTAACATTGCAGTTAGTATGTAGATGTTTGTTCAATTTTACATAGCTAATAAAATTTGGGTTTATTTTCGGTTTCTTGGTATTGAAGAGAGTCATTAAGTGGCTTTATCTTCAAGTTGACTTTTATGATTGTTCCTCTGTCGTACGTGCTCTTGACACAAAGTCTCTAGTAGTTCATAGTCTTTTGAAAATATCCCCAGCTTCTGCAGTTGTGGTGTGTTGCGCTTTGTTCAGCCCCTTTCCAAATGGCGTAGTAACTTGCACACACATCAAATGGTGTCTTGTGTAACTTTGTGTGCTGTGCACAATGGAGTCCTACTAAACTATGAAATTAACCTATCAGTCCTAATGGTGGTGAGCGATTGCCCCTAGTTTAATCCACCTGTTTTTAAGACTTGTTACTTGGCACAATCTTTCCATACATGCACTTGCTAATTAGCATAAATGGGTAAGTGTTGTTGCTTGCTTACAAAAAGCATTTTTATGGCTGTACCATTTACATTCCTGCTACCTAAATAGGTAAGTATAAGCTTTGCATGTTGGTCCTGGGCATTAAACCTATCTCCACCTAGCTGGAACAGCAGTTTTGGCATTGGTAGGCCCCTGGTTATGCCCAGCTGTTCCCATCACTAACATGGGTAAGTATGAGCTGTGCACACACATTCTGGGCATTGAGCCCACTTCCACCCAGCTGGAACTGCAGCTTTAGTGTTGGAAAGCACCCAGTTGTTATAGCACTAACAAAGGTAGGTATGAGCCATGCATGCAAGTTCTGGGCATGGAACCCAGTTCAACCCACTTCCGCCCAGCAGCATCCACAGTTTGGCATAACGGAGCACCCAGCTCCACCCAACACCAAACACAGTTTATCAATACCAAGCACCCATTGGCAACCTACAGAGGAGTTTCTGTTTGTGGAGGAGCTGGAACCAGTGAATGTGGCACCCAGTGAGACAGCCGAGCTCATCTGCACGGTCTCCAATGAAGCAGCCAAAGTCAAGTGGTTCTGCGGGGATGAAGAAATCCTGATAGATGATGGCAAATACAAGACCAAACAAGAGCAGAGGAGGCACTCCTTGATAATCACTGATGTGACCACAGAAGATGCTGGAAAGTACTTGTGTGCAATGGGAGATAAAATCACTTCAACGTTGCTCACAGTAACTGCAGGTATAAATGAGGTGTCTCTCTGTCCCCACAAATATTGACAGCACTTGTTATCCCTCTACATCGTCTGTCTGCCCAAATCAGCCAGTCTTTTATTGTGTCAATAGGAAAACAATGAAAACAACTAAGCTTCTCTGAATTTCTGTTTTCAAAGCTAAGGGTAAGATCTGTGAATCAGAGATATCAGTGTACAGCAAGTGAGCACTTATAATTTTGGACTCTGCCAGCACAGGGCTCAATAGCTTATAGTTGGTAGAACATCAGTACCATATTCCAGCAGTTACAGGTTTGGTTTCTTCTCCAGTCAGTTATGTTTGATGTGCTGATTTTGAAGTCAGAGACTGCAGTACTAGCCCTTATCTTAGAATTATTGCCACCTTATCCTTTAGAAATGCCCGAAATTTTGAAGGATCTCCAGAGTCAGAAAGCTGATGAATCAGAAGATGTTGAGTTCACCTGTGAGCTTACTGACGACCTCCCGGAGGATGTCGATGTCACCTGGTTCAAGGCAGACACCGAGATTGAGCCTAGCGTCAAGTATGAGTTGAAGAAGGACAAGCGCAGGTTGTCACTGGTTGTCCATGACTTGAAGAAAGAGGACCAAGCTGCTTACACAGTGGCAATTGGAGAAAGACGCTCTTCAGCAACTCTTCAAGTCAAAGGTAGAAATTCTGCTGTTCTCACAGGGAGAATTAAGTTACTGATCAGGATGTGTTGCCAGTATTTGTAACTTAGCTAATATGTTTGTGTCTTCATGCTTTGAATAGATATTACCCTAGCTCTTACTTCTTGACAAGGAAAATTGTATGTGTCTCTTAAGCTTTATTTCGAATGCTTCGCTGAATCTTATGTTGCTGTTGCAATTTCTAGCTTTCACTCTCACTCCACTGCAAGACACCAAAGCGACCGAATTTGACAAGACTGCCACGTTTGAATGCACAGTCTCCAGTGAGAAGGCTGTGGTGACGTGGCTGAAGGATGGTGAGAAGATTGAGGCTGGTCCCAAGTACGAGATCCAAGAGGATGGGACGCAACGTGTTCTCATCGTTCACAATATCTCACCAGAAGACAGAGGGAACTTCAGCTGTGTTGTAGGCGACGTTGAGTCTGTAGCCGCACTGAGCGTTGAAGGTCTGTGGACTTGCATTTTATCATACCATCTATAAATAACAATACTCAGAAAAGATTTTTTTTATTCACTCTTTCCCAAAAACATTTCTGTGGCACATGTATTTAGTTGAGTTCATCACAAAGTCCCTGCAAGTCCATCGCAAGTCATCCAGTCTTAAGCCACATCACAAGCTGTTTCAAGTGAACTGTGGCAAAAACACTCATTTGTCAGTGTTTATCCTGTTACTCGAGACTGCTGTTGTGAAGGCAGTTGTTACTGAATTAGTAAAATGGACTAGTGGAAGGACTTGACAACAACACTTTTATGAAAATTTGTTTATTTGTACTTTTGTCAAGTTTGGCCTTTGTGCCAATGACATTCAGGAGCACAGCCCACCTTTTAACAGCTTAGAGATGCAGTAACTCATGGATAGCTAGCAATTATGTTTATAGGGAAGGCTTCATGCCATTTTAGACATGCAAATACTCAAGCAAAGATAAATGTTCAAAGTCTAGTTTTGTAAACTGGCTCCTAGTGCTTTGGTTTTTCTTATCACCTCCCAGTCTGGTTGAAAATCAAATTAAATCAGCATGAACATATTAATTTATCCATCTATCCTAAACCTCTCAAATTTTATGCCTGTATTGTCATACAGCCACCAAAATAACCAAACCACTGAGAGAAACTGAGACTACGGAAAAAGAGACAGTCACCCTGACCTGTGAGGTATCACATGAGAAGGGTGTTGTCAAGTGGCTTAAAGATGGCAAAGACCTTCCGGACAGTCCACGGTACAAGACCAAGGCTGAGGGTAAGGTTCGATCCCTGGTGATCGAGGATGTACAGCGCGATGATGAGGGTGATTACACCTGTGTCGTTGGTGATGACAAGACTACGGCTGGACTCTTTGTCAAGCGTAAGTTTTGATGAATATCACCCTAGATTTTCTTGTACCCAAATGCCCTTCCACTGAAGGAGAAGACCAAAAAAGCTTTGCGTTTTTGAAGCTTTGACCAGACCTTGTAAGGACCAATGTTGTGGTGGAGACCTCTAAAGACCATCACAAGATCATCACATGACCATAGACCAGCACAAGACCAGCACAAGACCAATGCAAGACTAAACCAAGAACACCACAAAACCATTACAAGAACTTCAGAGCGCAAACCATCCACCATGAATGTGATCAAGGCACTCTTTTTATTATCCCTGTCGATTGTGCTCACAACCAACTCCGCTCCCTGGAGAGTATACTATTTTGATGCTGACATTTCGGCGCAGGTGGCTAACCATAACTATGGCTGCCCTCACAGGTACCCATTCACTCCTGGGTGGAGAGAGGCACATTAGGGATAAAGTGACTTGTCCAAGATCGCAACATGCTGCCACTAGCTGGATTCTAACCCCTGACTTTATGATCAGAAGCTGCAAACCCTAACCACTGGGCCACATGCCCCAATGAAAGTATTCCCTTGTTATTGTATACAACCTGTGGTCTTGTGTCTGATCTTGTGACTGGTCTTGTGAATGACCTTCATGACTGGTCTTGTGTCTAGTCTTGTGTCTCAGCTGATCTACTAATCTACTAGCCTGCAAATGGGACTCTAGTTATGTTACTGCTTGATTGTGTAAAGGAGTATCTAAATGTTACTTTCTTTTAAGATTTTGTCTTTTTTTTCCCACAGCACCACCAGTTGAGTTCCTGACCGAGCTAACACCGATCCAAGTCACAGAGAGGCAGACAGCAGAGTTTGTCTGCGAGGTCTCGGACGAGAAAGCCGAGGTAACCTGGCTGCGAGACGGCAAACCAGTTGAGCCCAGCGACAAGTACCTGATTGTCAAGCAAGGCCGGGAACGTCGCCTCTCTGTCACAAACACCGAGTTTCCTGATGAAGCTGACTATTCTTGCGTCATTGGGGATCGAAAAACGACAGCTGAGCTCTTGGTTGACGGTGAGTACCTCAGAGATCATGTTGTCATGGAGAACACACCAAAAATTGTGTACCAGTGAGAGGTTGATGAAAACAACCTTGTAAAAAGTGGTCGTAACCAAAAGCTAGACTTGTGCTTGGAAAAGAATAGGAGGGGCCTATTTTGCCAGAAATGGTTTTTCTCTTACACATGCAAAAAAACAGGACATGCCAGGTCATTGGTTGCCTGTAATCACACTTTATCAGTAATTTTATCTATAAAAACCATGCGTTAAATGTTTGGGTGCTAAATCTGAACAACAGCTTTTCAAGGAGTGATTGAAAGACTGCTAATATCTCTCTGTTTGCTCTTTCAGAAGCTGAACCGGAGATCGTTGTGTCCATGCAAGATGTTAAAGTGACCGAAGATCAAGAAGCAACCTTTGTCTGTGAGCTTGACAAGGACACGTCCGATGTTGTCTGGCTGAAGAATGGCAAGGAGATTGAGGAAGATGACACAAAGTTTGAAGTACAGCGTAAGGGCCGTCGACACTCACTGATTGTCAAAGACATTGGCTTGGATGATGCTGCCGCCTACACATGCGTCGTTGGCAGGAAAGAAAGTTCAGCGTCGCTCATTGTAGAAGGTAATAATTTCTTACTGTTACCGTTTGGTTTGATTACTGAGTTGGACATCAACTAGGTGGGACATTTAAACGAAAAAGTTCTAAATCTGTGTATAGATTTTCCCAAATGTTAAAACAGAACCACCCCTTTTAGAGGTTTAATGTTTCGATTAATGCAATCTGGAGTTCATTTTTATTATAAACAATGCCTTTAGAATGTAATCTGATTTTCAGAACACTTAACTGCTTGGTCATATCAATGGAATTCATCATCAGAACTTTGTGTCAACTATTTACATTGTATACAATTTCTTTTTTTAAATTTTCAATGACACTGTGGTAAGGATAGGATGTGTACACTTTTAAACTGCATGCAAAAGTTTTCTAAACCTTTTTCAAATTAAACGTAAATTCCCAGTCTTAACATCAACATGCTAAAGACAGGAAGGACCATGTTTCTTTTTCAACTTTGGATTTTTTCATAAACTGTAATTTATCGAGGTGAACGGAAGTTTGACTTTAGAGTGTTGGACTGATGTTATACTAATGATGAATTTAGGCCAGTTTTTACTTTAAGCAGTTTGCTTTTGGAAAGCAAATTGAATTTCCAAGTAAATGTAGGTTCTCTTTGATGGTTGATGTTACTCAAACAAATTTATTTCACTTTCACTCTGGTTGTCAAGTTATGTATTCCTGTTGACCTTTAGTGAGTCATCCAGTTCAGTTATTAAAGAAATTTCCTCAATTACCCAAACAGAGAAACCCATTGAGTTCACTGAGCCCCTCCAACCGCTCCGAGCTAGCCCCGGTGACTCAACAACCTTCGAGTGCACCCTCAACAAAGACAACGTCGAGGTGGTGTGGATGAGAAATGACAAAGAGATTAAGCCCAGTGATCACTTTGAGATCAAGAAGGATGGCAAGCATCATAAGATGACAGTCAAAGGTGTTCAGTTTGAAGATGACGCTGAGTACACTGTGAAAGTGAAGGGGGCAGAGTCTAAATCATCCCTGGTTGTACAAGGTATTAGCCAAACCTTGTCAATTTAGTGATCAAAAGTTACTTGTTCTGTTCTTTATTTTTAAGAGAAAACAAGGAAAATTGCTTGTGCAAGAAGTGCTCTGTTCTTAGTAAAATACTACATTAAGTTGTAATTTGGGAGCTGTCTACCTCTGTTGGTGGTTTTCCAACCAGTTAACATATTTATGTTATGTTCCTGAAGTCTAAGCATTTAGCCCTGGTTTCTCTGATTTCAAATTCTTAGAAGATCTGAATATCACCAGTGCTGTTCCAAGACTCAAACCAGTCACCATGAATCTTGTGTCTTGAGCTATGTCTAGGTGTGAGCTGGTTGCAAAGTGGACATATGTAGAATGCAGACATTGCTTCAGCTCTGAAAGCCTGTTCAAACATCTCTCCTATTTTGACAAATCCTAGATGTCCACTAGAGTAGAAATCTTGACTATTGCTATTCTGTGTCTTTGTATTGCCCAGATGTTGGAAGGAAACTATATGATTTCATTGTAAGACTTTCATTGCCTGTCTTCTGTTTCCATTTCACAGCTCCACCAAAGATTGAAATAGACACTGACAAACTGACGGTCACCATCAAAGCTGGCTCCAAGATTGTCATTGAGGCCACTGTCATTGGCTCACCCAAACCAACTACTACCTGGTCCAAAGACGGCACTGAACTCCATCCAGACAAGCGCATCACCATGACAGCTGACAACACCATGAGGGCAAAGGTCAAACTGACCATTGACAAATCAGAGAGGACGGACCTGGGAGAGTACACAATCCTCGCAGCCAATGATCTTGGTTCCGATACGGTTATTGTCAAAGTCATAGTCCTTGGTGAGTATTATAGGCAGTTGTGGGCAGTTTACGGTGGCATATCCATTAGGGCCAGGGAGGGGTTGGAGTGGCTCCTGGGGAAACTGTGCCTGGGGGCAAAATTTTTTTAATCAGAATTGCCAACACTAAAAAAGAATTATATTGGCCTAATAACACCGTCCTGGGGAGGTGAAAAAATTTTTGAAAATCATTTCCGAAAAACATTATGGCCCCTTCTCGGACTCAAAGCCTATGTATGCTTCTGGCAGTTGAACCTTCCCCCCCCCCATAAAAAAATGACCCCATGTTTCCAAACTTTGGCCTTTTTAGTGAATGTTTACTAAAATTATTGGACATCACAGGAAGCTGAGCGTTCTAAAAGCTTCATTTTGATCCCAGAGGAAATAATTACCATTGCGTCTTTTCCCACAGACAAACCTCAACCTCCAAATAATCTCCGAATCACTGGAATCACTCCTACGACTGTCTCGCTCATTTGGGAGCCCCCTGAGGATGATGGAGGCAGCCCAGTCACGGAATACATCATTGAGAAGAGAGACATGAAGCGTGCTACGTGGTCCAAGGCAGGAACCACCACCTCTGCAGAGCTGGGATTCACCGTCATGAAGCTCTTGGAAGGAAATGAGTACTTGTTCCGTGTTATTGCAGTGAACAAGCACGGGCAGAGTGAGCCACGAGTACTTGGATCACCTGTTATTGCCAAACATCAATTTGGTGAGAAGAACTGTATTATTTACCCGTGGTTATTTTGTCTTAGATTGCTTCATCAGCCAATTTGTGTCATTTTCAGACCTCATTTCACACTCATTTCAATTTCTTTAAGCAAGCATGACAGAGTTGGTCAAGATTTGGTTTCATTTTCATATTTCATCTTCAACTTTGATGACTTGTTTATTTTGCTATTGAACTTTTGCCCATGTGTCCTCATATATCATACAGTTTTCAATCTTATTTCTTTCTGTCAAATTCAAATATTACGAATGCATTTGTTGTTACTACCACTTTGCTTCAACCAGTGTGCACTGCGTATTCTGTCTATATTTCATGTCCTGAATTCATGCCATTTGAGAGCAAGTTTTGCACAATAGAAACAAAGGTTTATCATTATTGGACCGACTTGACTTTAAGCTGTCTAATGCACCACAGCTGGACTGGGCTAGTCAGTGTCTCTTCATCAACCCACCAAGCATGGATGTGTTAACAATAACTGTGTGTTTCTTGAATAACAGCAGGGACCTTTTGACCAGCATCATGGGCTCATTGCTGTAAAAGATCTTTGGTACAGAAATTGAAACTAAGGGTCATCTAATACCACTGGTCATTGTCCGAACTTGCTCTGAACTGAATCACATTTCAAGTTCTACCCATTTCTATCTGTTTCTCAATCATCCATCATCCCTCTCTTTCATATCATTGCTTGTTGCCATCCTCTGCCATTCCGTCATAACAGATGTGCCTCATCCACCGGCCAAGCCCCAAATCTCAGACATTGACAAGACCAAGATGACGATCACCTGGTCTCCTCCCGAATTTGACGGAGGCAGTGAGATTACTGGTTACATTCTCGAGAGGCAGGAAGTTGGCCGTGATCGTTGGGCCAAAGTTCACAAGGTCCCATTGACCGATACGATGTTCTCCTGTACTGATTTGATTGAAGGAAAGGAGTATATATTCAGGGTGATGGCTGAAAACAAAGCTGGTTTGAGTAAACCGAGCAAGCCATCAGATACTCACATGGCCAAACCACCCTATGGTGAGATTCTTAATAGAATTTAAGTCTAATTCTTGAACAAACAGAAATGTTCACCCTTACCTCAAAGACATTTGTGATTGAAGACAAGATAAAACTCTTGGAGAGTAGAAAAAGTCAAACTTTGTGACCCAAGAACAAGTTAATGATAAAAGATTGACAAGAATAAAATATAAAATCAGTGCTCTGGAATATGTGATTACCGAGCTTTTGGTAACTGAGTACCTTCTTCAGGGCAAGCATATTCAGTTCAAATGATAAATCATATTGTTTTTTCATGTAAATATTATTGTTTGCTGAAGATCTTACATGTGCATACCATTTATTTCATTTTGGTTGAAAGGAATTCCCATTAACTTCATTTCAGCCATTTCAATTGATGAATTTAAAACCATGAAGAACCATCAGAAGATTTTGTGAAGAAGGAATTTCACAAAGACTCACACAAGTTACTGTGTACTTACATTCTCTGTTATATGATCTTCAGATGTCCCAGGGGCACCCAGCAAACCACAACCAGAGAATATTGATGTTACTACAATCTCCATCACATGGAACTCGCCTGAATCAGATGGTGGCTCCCCTGTGACTGGATACATCATTGAAAGATGTGATGTCAGCCGTGGTCGCTGGGTCAGAGCCAATCGTGAGAAGGTGAGTCATAGGAAAATAAAATAAAAAGCTCTCTTTCTCTTGACATTAGAATATGAGCTTGAATCAAAAGTTACGTTACTACATGCAATTTGGACTTAAAAAATTACCTCTTATATATTTTCAACAAAAAGCCAGCTGTTAAATAATATAAGTGGAAATGTAGATGGCACCACTTACAGCTCCACAGCACAAGAATCTTGCTTTGTGTGTGTTTACTGGAATCACATTTGTGTCTTATGGTAGTGCAATTGTTGGGTTCAAATGTTGAAGGGGCACCTTAAATTCCCCCACAATTCATTTTAAAAGGAAACACAGGCTCACACAGCCAGAATGCAAAGCAAGCACACCTAGATGTCATCAGAATGTGTACCAACTTGAAGCATCTTTGTGTTGGTTTTTGTGGTGTACAGTAGCCATGGCATTCAATTGTCTGTAATATCTTTCCTTGTCATTTCTTAAGGGCAGCTTTTCATAGGTCCCATAAAGGGCTTCAGGTTTGGTGACTGCATTTTTCATTTTTTCTCCTATGTGAAATACGCAAATATTAGAAACTTTATATTATTTCTTTCTTCCACTTTGTGTTCTCCTTTAATTACAGGTGACAGAGCTCACGTTCAAAGTTACAGATCTGGTGGAAGGTAACAAGTACCAATTTCGTGTCTCGGCAGAGAATCTAGCAGGTGTTGGCACACCTAGTGAACCATCTGATACCATTGTGGCAAAACTGCCTTTTGGTAAGAGCATTCATCCATTCAGCTCATACTGTCTTATTTGATGCGCATTCAAAGATGCTATTTGGTTTAAAGCCTCTTTCACTCAATTTCTTTGCTCATTCAAAAGTCACTTTCCCTTTTTCAGATGTCCCAGGAGCTCCAGAGAAACCGACTGTCAGTGACATTGACAGCACTAAAATGACTGTCAACTGGTCACCTCCATCAGCTGACGGTGGTAGCCCTGTCACTGGTTACATCTTGGAACGCAAGGAGAAGACATCATCTAGGTGGACAAAAGTGACTAGAGAACCAGTCACAGAGACAGCACTGACTGTGAAAGAGCTGATCGAAGGCAAGGAGTACGAGTTCCACGTAGCTGCTGTCAACAAGGCTGGAAGTGGACCATTCAGTTCTCCATCAGAGCCAAGAACGGCCAAGCCACCTTATGGTGAATCATATTCCTTGTAGCCCTGCTTCTAAAACCTTTGTTAGTGTACACATCTAAGTCTAAGCTTGTTTATGGAAGGCTAGACATCTCTTTCAGAAAGTCAGATATTCAGGCTTTCCTTCAGGTTAAACAAGATTTCCTCTTTGGAGGTGGATTGCTTTTTCCTCCTAGAAGATTTCCACATCTTAAACTAAGTATTCATCGGAGCATACATAAATCTGAAGCGAATCTGAAATGATACTCTTTGCAAACTTAGTGAAAGGAATGTGTGGTGCATAAACGTCTATGTGTGTTTTTGTATGGTATTCAATTCATTCCATTAGTGTCATAAGCTGAATATAGTCACGAATTGCGATGTGGCTTGCTGCATTCGTATTCATTGTTCTAAAAATGCAGTACTCTTGCCTGTTTATAGATGTTCCAGGTGCCCCAGAACGGCCTGCTGTTAGTGACGTTGACAGCCATCAAATGACTGTTACATGGGAAACCCCCTCTGTCGACGGTGGCAGCCCAATCACCGGCTACATCCTTGAACGCAAGGAGAAAACTTCCTCAAGATGGATGAGGGTCACCAAAGAGACCGTCATTGAGAAAACACTGACCATCAAAGATCTAAATGAGGGGAAGGAGTATGAGTTCCGTGTGGCCGCCGTTAACAAAGCCGGAATGGGTCCATTCAGTAAGCCATCAGAACAACAGAAGGCCAAACCACCTTATGGTAAGATGCATCCATTATCAGGTGCTCCTGTAAACTTCCTTTCATATTTCCCTTCCTTATGACACTCATGCATATCCAATGTCTTGTATTCATCATTTCGAACCTCAATCCCTCTTCACTGCAACTCTTAAAATGGTTGGGACACACGTGAAACCCACAAACACTGCTCACATTTAAGATGTAAGGACGTGTGTGGCAAGAATGGAAACAGTTGTACGTACATTCAACCTGACAGTCATTTAGTGAGAGAAAAACTGAGTTTCATTCCATCACCATTTTATTCCTTAGATGTGCCAGGCCCTCCTGAGAGACCCACAGTTAGTGATGTTGACAGCACTAAAATGACAGTAGCATGGACAGCGCCTTCTGTTGATGGTGGTAGTCCAGTCACCGGCTTCATCGTGGAACGCAAAGACACGACATCCACCAGATGGATGAAAGTGACCAAGGAACCGATCTCCGAAACAAACCTTATTGTTAAAGATCTCATCGAGGGCAAGGAGTATGAGTTTCATGTTGCTGCTGTCAACAAGGCTGGAACTGGCCCATTCAGTGCTCCGTCAGAACCAAGAATGGCTAAGCCACCCTATGGTAAGGGCCGGTGACCATTTAGACCCGGTTTGAAAAGGGCCCCCCCAGGAGCCCACCCTGTATAATGCCTACCCTGGCTACTCCAGGCCGGTATCAGGCCTGTCTGAACATCGGCATTTCAAAGTCCCTGATGAAAGGCTTCCCCCACCATGCTTCCACAGATGAATAGGGGTCTAAGCAGATTAGTGTAAACATTGTATAGAGCTGAAGAATTAAAAACCACAAGCTGGTTCCTTCTGGGATAGATTACATGTACCAGTACTTGCAAACAATAGACCCCAGGATGGAGAAGTTGGAGATCAACAACCAGTCCAGCATCCTGGGCCGGTAGCTTGGCCGGTATGCAAAGGGTTTTGCAACAGGGTGAGCTTACCGGGGGGCCCTTTTCAAACCCGGTCTAAATGGTCGCCGGCCCTAAGTGTCTTCCATAAAACTAGTCATTTGTAAACAAAATGGATTTAAAGTTAGCTTCCTTGTCACTTTTAATACTTTTCTTCAGTCCTCATTCAAACCAATTTACCTTGTCACAAACTATAAACAGATGTTCCTGGAGCACCAGAGAAGCCTGAAGTGACAGCAGTTGACAGAACACAGATCACTATCACCTGGTCACCTCCAGAATCTGATGGTGGCAGTCCCATCACAGGTTACATCGTTGAGAAGAAAGAAACCTCTTCCACAAGATGGACAAAAGCTCAGAGAGACTCAGTCACAGAAACAACACTGACTGTGAAAGATCTGATTGAGGGCAAGGAATATGAGTTCCATGTAGCTGCTGTCAACAAGGCTGGAACCGGACCATTCAGTGCTCCATCGGAACCAAGAATTACTAAAGCTCCTTATGGTAAGCTACTTAACTTAAAGTGTCAATTTTCATTTTTCTTGCTGTATCTTTTCTTCAACCTCTGTCTGAACTTTCCTCCTCAAAAATTTATTTCCATGACAAAAATCATTTAACAGATGTTCCAGGAGCACCAGACAAACCTGAGGTGACAGCAGTGGACAGAACACAGATCACTATCACCTGGTTACCTCCAGAATCTGATGGTGGCAGTCCCGTCACAGGTTACATCGTTGAGAAGAAAGAGACCTCTTCCACAAGATGGACAAAAGCTCAAAGAGAACCTATCACGGCGACACTATTGACTGTGAAAGATCTGATTGAGGGCAAGGAGTTTGAGTTCCGTGTAGCTGCAGTCAACAAGGCAGGAACCGGACCATTCAGTGCTTCATCAGAACCAAGAATCACAAAACCTCCCTATGGTAAGCCGTCTCTCTGGAAATGCCTCATATTTTTTTCCTTGGTCATATTTTTCATCAACTTTTGGTTTCAAAGTCTCCTTGTTAATGTAACGTTGTATAAAATCAATATCTTTCAACAGATGTTCCTGGAGCACCAGAAAGGCCCCAAGTGACTGCCGTTGACAGAACACAGATCACCATTACTTGGTCACCTCCAGAATATGACGGCGGTAGCCCAGTCACAGGCTATATCATTGAAAAGAGAGAGAGAAGCTCAACAAGGTGGACAAAAGCTCAAAGAGACTCAGTCACAGAGACGACACTGACTGTGAAAGATCTGATTGAGGGCAAGGAATATGAGCTCCGTGTAGCTGCTGTCAACAAAGCTGGAACAGGACCATTCAGTGCTCCCTCTGAACCAAGAATCACAAAACCACCATATGGTAAGTTTAATGTTTTTCTTTGAAACCTTTGCACTGAATGTTTTTATATTCCTCTTCTTAATTAAAGCATTGTCTGTACTTTCCTCCACAAACATGTATTGCTATAATCAATATCTTTCAACAGATGTTCCTGGAGCACCAGAGAAGCCTGAAGTGACAGCAGTTGACAGAACAGAGGTCACCATCACCTGGTCACCTCCAGAATCTGATGGTGGCAATCCCATCACAGGTTACATCATTGAGAAGAAAGAGACCTCTTCCACAAGATGGACAAAACCTAAAAGAGACTCAGTCACAGAAACAACACTAACTATGAAAGATCTGATTGAGGGCAAGGAATATGAGTTTCGTGTAGCTGCTGTGAACAAAGCTGGAACCGGACCATTCAGTGCTCCATCAGAACCAAGGATCACGAAACCTCCGTATGGTGAGCCGTCTCTCTGGAAATGCCGGATATTTTTTCCTTGGTCATGTTTCCGTCGACTTCCCAGTTTTAAATTCTCCTTGTTATGTAACTTTGTACAAAATTAATATCTTTCAACAGATGTTCCAGGAGCACCAGAGAGGCCAGAAGTGACTGCAGTTGACAGAACACAGATCACTATCACCTGGTCACCTCCAGAATCTGATGGTGGCAGTCCCATCACAGGTTACATCGTTGAGAAGAAAGAGACCTCTTCCACAAGATGGACAAAAGCTCAAAGGGAACCTGTCACAGCGAAAACATTGACTGTGAAAGATTTGATTGAGGGCAAGGAGTATGAGTTCCATGTGGCCGCAATCAACAAAGCTGGGATGGGCCCATTCAGTAAGCCATCAGAACTACAGAAGGCCAAACCACCTTATGGTAAGATACATCCATTATATTAAATTTCATTCTATACTACCAATCAGGTACTCCTGTAACATCTTTCCATATGTACCTTCCTTTTAAGACTTTTAAGACTTCATTTTATTTCAAAATTCCTGTATGCATTGTTTCATTCTTCAGTTCCTCTTCACTGCAACTTTTAAAATGATTGGAGTGCTTTCGGGAAACCACAAATACAGCTCTCATGGTGTAAGGCTGTGTGTTGTAAGAACTAATTGTATATTCAATCAACCTTACAGGGTCATTTTTAAGGAAAACTGAGTTTTATTCCATCACCATTTCATTCCTTAGATGTGCCAGGTCCTCCTGAGAGACCCACAGTTAGTGATGTTGACAGCACTAAAATGACAGTAACATGGACAGCACCTTCTATTGATGGAGGTAGTCCAGTAACTTGCTACATTGTAGAACGCAAAGACACGACATCCACCAGATGGATGAAAGTGACCAAGGAACCAATCTCCGAAACAAACCTTATTGTCAAAGATCTCATCGAGGGCAAGGAGTATGAGTTCCACGTTGCTGCCGTGAACAAGGCCGGAACCGGACCATTCAGTGCTCCATCAGAACCAAGAATAGCTAAGCCACCCTATGGTAAGTGCAGGGTTTGCCCGTAACTTTTTTTTCACTTGCCAGCCGGACCAGCAGTGATGGCTTTTTACTAGTCTGCCAAGTCTGCCAGCATTTTCACTAGTCCCTGTCTTCCCCCACCTTTCAACATTCTTTTTTGGAACTAGTGTTTTCTGCTTCAACTTCATGCATCATGATCGTGTGCCCCCGGTGCAGACTGTTGTTTAAGGGGAATTATGAATTTCCAGAATATTCTAACTCTACTCAAGCAAATAAAACACTCAAAGAGGTTACCTGCTGAAAATGGTTAGTTTTGTTCACAATGTAAGACACAGAAAAAAAACATACATGTAACATTATGAACAGTTTATGTACATGTACGTTTTATGCGGTATGCACGTGCAGGTACATATGTACATGTACGCCCGGGTAAATGTACATGTACATATGTACATGTACAATACATGTTCGTTCTCAACTGTGTCTAGTACCCCTGGGGTGCATTCCACCAAATGGTTGCATTACTGCATGTGAGCTCATTAATATTTTGTGATACCACAGGGTTTTTACAATAAGACATGCCATAATCAGGAGGGATCAGAGAAATATTTCTATAAATCCCGAATTTGGGACAGACAATTCCAGTTTGGGGTATTTCCTTTAAAAGTGGTGGGCAGCTACATTCAGAGCTGAGTGCATAATTTTACTAGTATTTGGAGGTATCTTCTGGGAAAGGCGAATAAAAAAAATCTTGTGACTAACCCCCATAAAATTGAAAATAAAAGTGATCTGGCCACAATCTTGAATTTCCAGAGAAAAAACAGAGGTCAACCTCTTTCCAAGAGTCAACAGGCAGCGCTATTTCAGTCTGATTGTGCAATGTTTTCGACGAGCGTGTATTTGGTGTAGTGCAACCTGTAGCGTGCGATCCAAACACGAAATCACAACCATCACATCCCTGGTGTCACAACTACCAATGACCAATCAGAAAAATCAGTACTGCATATTCATATAATGTAATGCGTATACACACACCATACACACTTGGCACGTCATACACGTGGGATGCATATTCTCGACTTAAATGTACCTCTACACGATGCAATGCATGAAAGCACATGCTGATTTAGATCCTATACGCAGAACCAATGTCAAGTCATAGTGTTGTCGAGACGTATTGGCCACACACGGTAGTACAGTTAACGGCCCACAGTTAAGTGCAATCGCGCCGCAAAGGCATTGCAGAATTGCAGTTTTAGACAATTTACTGCCGCTGCATTCATAGACTTCAGCATTACTCCTGCTGGGCTGGTGCCAGGGACTGAACTATTCTTGGTTGCAAAAGGTTCTATTTTATTTGGTTCAAAAACCAGCAGCAGCTAGAGGGCATGCATCACAATCAAATATTTCGCCGCTTCTTTCAGAATACTGTTTTACTAGACCGCCGGACTACCCAGATGAGGGCTTTTGCTAGACCGCTGTGATTTTTACTCAAATTTTGCTAGCAGACCAGCATTAAGGTCGAACCTTGAAGTGTCTTCCATAAAACTGTTGATTTTAAAAAAATGGAATTGAAGTTAACTTCCCTGTCACTTTTATCACTTATCTTCAATCCTTATTCAAACCAATTTCCTTGTAACACACCATAAACAGGTGTTCCTGGAGCACCAGAGAAGCCTGAAGTGACAGCAGTTGACAGAACACAGATCACTATCACCTGGTCACCTTCAGAATCTGATGGTGGCAGTCCCATCACAGGTTACATAGTTGAGAAGAAAGAAACCTCTTCCACAAGATGGACAAAAGCTCAGAGAGACTCAGTCACAGAAACAACACTAACTGTGAAAGATCTGATTGAGGGCAAGGAATATGAGTTTCGTGTAGCTGCCGTGAACAAAGCTGGAACCGGACCATTCAGTGCTCCATCGGAACCAAGAATCACTAAACCACCTTATGGTAAATTTCCTAACTTCAAGTATTAATTTGTAATTTTCTTGCTATATCTTTTCTTTTTTATTCCTCTTCTTCAACCAGTGTAAATGTTCCTCCTCAAAAATTTATTTCCATGACAAACATCATTAACAGATGTTCCAGGAGCACCAGAGAAGCCTGAGGTGACAGCAGTGGACAGAACACAGATCACTATCACCTGGTCACCTCCAGAATCTGATGGTGGCAGTCCCATCACAGGTTACATCGTTGAGAAGAAAGAGACCTCTTCCACAAGATGGACAAAAGCTCAAAGAGAACCTATCACGGCGACCACATTGAATGTGAAAGATCTGATTGAGGGCAAGGAGTTTGAGTTCCGTGTAGCTGCAGTCAACAAGGCAGGAACCGGATCATTCAGTGCTCCATCAGAACCAAGAATCACAAAACCTCCCTATGGTAAGCCGTCTCTCTGGAAATGCCACATACGTTTTCCTAGGTCATATTTTTCCGTCAGCTTTTCTGTTTTAAATTCTCCTTGTTATGTAACTTTGTCCAAAATCG